TTCGTAACTTAGTATAAATTATAAATTATTAATATTATTTTATTTATAAACTAATAAATAAATAAAAAAGATTAATTAGATCCTTAAGATATACTTTTATTATTATATAAACTACGACTAGGATAATTAAGTAGCGCTTTTATTAATAACTTAGTTCGTATATAATAATATAATTAGTAAAAATATAAGAAAATCCCCGTTTTATTTTAATTACGGATTCTAGTTAATAGTATATAGAGAAGTACGATAAGGACTATAAGTTATAAAAGCTATAATAAATATAAATAAACTTAAAGAGATTTATAAATAAGCTTTATTAAACTTTAAGTTTATATAATAATATATAAAGAAAAACGCGGATAGATTAAAGATTAGAGGACTATTTTTTAAAAAAGGGGATAGTACTTATCTCTTTTATTATAATATTAAAATAAAATAACTAAGTAATAAATTAAATTATAAAAAACTTAGACCTTTCGAAATTATTAAGAAAGTCTTATTAATTAATTATAAATTAAGATTATTAAATACGATACGATACTATTCCGTTTTTTATATTTTATTATTTAAACCTATATTAAGAGGCTTATATATAGAAAATTAAATTATTATTAAACTAAATTAATTAAAATACGAAGTTAAATAAATTATTAATTATAGAATTAAGAATAGAATATAAGAATTCTTTATTAAATAAAAGGGCTATAAATATAAAAAAAATATATAAGAACTTATTACGAACTTTTAGAACTTTTAAGAATCCTTTTTAAAATATTAAAATTAAAATTAAAACTAGAACTCTTAGTTATTATAGCGTCCTAGTTAATTACCCTAAAAGTATTACTAAACTATATCTCTTACGTAATAACTAACTTATCCTCGTTAATAATATTAAGAGGATTAAGGATTATTTTCCCCTTTTTAAATATTATCCTTTTTTTTAAAAAAAAATAATTTAATTTTAATAAGGACTTATTTATTTTAGCTTATGTATAGTATAAGGCCTCTACTTATTTTTAAAAAAAAAGCTCCTCTATTTCTTTTTTATACTCTAGCCTATTAGCTTTAAATAGAAAATAATTTATTATAAGCACGATTAATATAAAAAATACTAATAAAAAAAGGGAAAAACTTATAATTATATATAATATTAATAATTACGTTATAAGAACGACTATAACGTATATATTTATAATACCTTAATTTACTTTTTAATATTTTATATTTTTATTTTAATAAGGAATAAAATAAGTAAGGTATTACGATTTTAAATCCTCGCTCTTTAATTTTAAGAATAAGCTTTAAATAACGATATATTAAAAATTTAGTAAATATTTTAGTATTTTTAAAAAAACTACTTAACGAGCCCTAACCTAGGCTATAACGACTTATTTATAGGTTTATAAGGATAAGACTTTTAAAAAAGAGACTTAATATTACGACTTAATATATATAACTAAGACTAAGGCCCGCTCCGTAGGCTTATAGTAGCTATAATATACTATATATATAAAAATATAAGAATATAAAATAATTTTTATAAAATAGAAGAATTATAAATAAATTATATATAAATAAGAAGTAGTAATTACGTAATAAAATAATTATTATAATTATTCTAAGTAATTACTTATTAATATTTACTAAGTAATTACTTAACGAATAAGAATAATTATTAATAAAAGATATATTTATAGTCGGATTTATATATAAAATAGACTTAAGCTAGGCTTAAAAATAGACTTTTATAGCTTTTTTAATAATTAACTTAGTATTAAATCTTACGATTATTTTTAGCTATTTTTATTAAAAACCCCCTTTTAATAGGATTATAATTAATTACTAAAGCCTTATTTACTTTATAACTTATAAATATAGCTTTAGGGAAGCTATTTATAACTATAATATTGCTTACTTAGTACTCGTAGCCTTAACTTTTATTAATATACTTACTACGACTAGCTAGTTATAATACTTTTATTAATATACTTATTATAACTAGCTAGCCGTAATACCCCCTTTATTATTAATAAGCCTAGTACTTTATTAGCGAGTATAAGAACTTTAATATCTATATAAACTCACTTACTAAGACTATTTATAAAAACCTAAAGTTTTATATTATTACTAACTATATAAACTTCTATACTATTTTCTAAATAATTAATAAAATACTAATTAATAAGAAAAGGGGGTACGTCGAGGCTACTATTATTATAAAGTCTCGTACTTATTATAAGTATTTCCGTTAGCTATAGCTTAGTAATATAACTAAATAAATAAAATATAAAGCTCTAGATCTTATAACTTATTAATACTAAATTACCCTTATTATAATACTGTTATTTATTAATAAGAACCCGCCTAGTTTCTAGCCTTATTATAAGCGCTTTATAAACTAATATAAACTACCCTATAACTATAAAATCCTCGAGATCTTAAGAACGACTAGAAGTTAGTTAACGAAGTACGATATTTATTTACGTTAATAACTTAAGTAGCCCCTAGTATATCGATCTATCCTACTTATAAAATATATACTAACCTTGCTAAGATTTTAATAATACCCTAATATAAATTAAAAATCCCCGTATTATAATTAGTTTATATAAGTAGCTACGTAACTAAAAAATTCTAAATTTAATATTTATACTTATAAATAATATCTTATTATTAAATAACCTCTTATTAAGTAGCTTCTCGTTAAGTAGCTTACTATCGTTAAGTAAGTAGCTTAAATTACTTTATAAAGCTACGAACCTAGCCCCGCGGCTAATAAGGGCGGGTATTCGTTAAAACTAGTTAGTATTTAAATATAATATAGAGGACGAATTAGTAATAGAGCTATTATAAAAAATTATTTAAAACTATATTATAATTAAAAAAGACGTCTTAATATTAATAAAACGTAATAAACGTCGTACTAAGTAGCTATTAACGTTTATAATACTAAGGAATCTTTAACTTAGTTAATTAGCTAATAAGAGGCCGTTATTAAGGATAGTTTTAATAATTTTAATAAAAATCGAAATTTAATAAAATCTCTTAATTATTATAATAAAAACTAAAATAATTTTCGAATTATATTACTTTACGTAAGTAATTAGAAATAATCTAAGTATTTAAGTAGAGTATAGGGTAATTATACTAGTTATAGCTAATACGGGACGCACGGGCTAAAAAAAAACTTAAACGATCTAGACGCTACGATTAGTCTAAAAAGTAAATTACTACCCAGATAGCTAAACAGTACTGCCCGGATAGCAAAACTCCTCTTAACAACCTATCCTGAGAAGGTAATGTCACACAGGTAATGTCACACATTCAAAGAGGCCGATTATTCTAGTAACTTACAAATGCCTGTCTTGAGATCTTGCTGCGGTGCTACTTGACATAAGCACAGTGCAGTGAGAAAAGGTTCACTGTCTCTGGCTTGAGACATGGGCATACCAAGATACTTCACCGTCACATGTAACTTATGCTGGTCTCCCATATGTGGTCGCATTTTGCCGCTTCCCGAGAGAGCACAATTACTTCATATGATGATGATAAGACTTCCAATCTAAGCTCATCACTGCAAAACCAGTCCATCCCCTGAGCCAAGCTCAACGAAATCGTATTCTGGAACTTTGCCATTCATCCTTGCCTCTTCAGCCTCGACAGCCTGTTTAAGAGTATATTGCGTACGCATAAGCAGTGGTGCGATGAGCCCACCGCCCTCCTTTGCCTCATCATGTGTCGCAACCCAATACCGAGCTCCAGTCTCAGCCACAGCTTGGATACCATTCAGAGCTCCCAAGTTTAACTGTTTCGTCATCCAGATGCGGACGTCGTGGAGGCCATGAAGTAAAGCGAGTGTTGAGAAGCCGGACTTGCGAATGCACTCAAGATCTGTTGCTTGTATACCGTGAGGAGAGTATAATATTGTCTCCGGTGTTTCCGAGCCAAAGGCAATCATAATGGCCGAATGATAATACAGGGCGTTTCCTTCCGTGATGACGCGCCCAATTCCGACCCATGGCGGGAGGCCGGAAATGCTAAGATCAGACTTCCAATCTTTTGTTTCGGAGGAGAATCCAGGGGTAGTGGTGACGGAAGAAAAGTGACTCCATGAGCGGATGAGGTCAGCAGCTTTATCAGTAGCAAACACTGGCGTTGATTTTGGAAGTTCTTCTAGAGTCGCTTGATGACAGTGATCGGTGAACTCATGCGAAATAGCCACGACGTCGATATATGATCTGTCAGTGACCTTTGGGGTTTCGGAGCCGTCTTCAAAGCCTGCAAGAATTGAATTGAGTTGGTCCATAGTTTTCAGGCTAGGTTCGACGACATGCCACTGTGTGGAGAACCATGACGCGACGTCGGACTGCGGACCTTGCAGCCACGGGTCGATGAGAACATTGAAGTGCTTTCGACCAGGAGGCCGGACCGACGATGGAGGATAAGGCAGTTGAATGAGCCATGTGGTATCGGCATTGAGGTGTACGAGGACGGGCCGTTGAGACCTCAACGCTTCCAACCAGCCAGCTCGGTCGCCGACTTTGATCGTAGCCGGCGCCGTTGATGCTTGTGGTTTATCTTGAATAGCCATAAGGATGCCGTTGGCTTCGGGTTTCGTGGTGGAGGTTCGAGGTTGAGGTGTTCAAGATGCGTTTTTGATGGGGGTTTACTCGGCGCACGACGGTTCCAGTTGATGTTGGATTGGGGTCCTAAAGAGGAAGAGAATGACGTAGTCGAGTTGCTCCGCCCCCATGATCCGTTTCCAACGTGTACTAGCATCACGTCGTATGGCTGGCAACTCCAACTACCTCAGTAAGTACTTGGTGCATAGGTCAGGTGAACGCAAGCCATGAAAGGGCGGCTTAACTGTGTTACAAGGCTATAACATTATCATAACAATGTGCACAATCTCTAAAATCTATCTCTGCATGTTTTACACTCGTGACGGCGGTTTCCATATTGAAGTAATTCCAGCTCTCGGACCCCTTTTGGATAATACTTTATCGCACGGACTTGATGGTCACCATGAGCGGGTGTTTCTCCCATAGAATGTAAGACTTCTGATCCGACCAATTCTCACTCTCTTGGCAAAGGCTGAGGTTAAAGTTCCAAAGCGTTTTGGCCAGGATGAGTCTCATTTCGTGCCAAGCAAGACTAAGACGGAGAAATTATGGTCAGCCGGCCGAAGCTGCTGCAACTTAGAAAAGGAAGAAGACTTACTTGATTCCAATGCAGTTCCGGGGGCCGATAGAGAATGGCTGGACAACCTCTTTCGTGTTTGGCTCATACTCTGGCCCGGGAATCCACCGCTCAGGGATGAATGCTTCAGGATCCTTGAAGTTGCGCGGCGAATGGTTCGCAGGGAACTGCGGGACGGAGACGCGAGTCTGAAATAACAATTAGCAACCTTTATCCATGATGAGAGGCAATTCACAAGATTTCATGCCTTTTCCGGGATCCAATGTCCTGCAACAGCGCTACCACCCTCGGGGACTTCCCTCCAGACTCCAACAGGAACTGGGGGGTACCAACGCAGTGCCTCATTGAGAACGGCCGTCATGTATGGCAACGCAGAAAGTCTCTGAATGTCCAAATCGTCTTCAGAGTCTACTCCACGTATTTCGCTAACAAGACGAGCCAGCTTGTCGGGGTTCCGGAGGAGCAAGTATGTGACGCCACTGAGAATGGTTGCCGTGGTCTCGGATCCAGCGACCATGAAGACAGACGCGTTGTTATACATGTCAAACTTGTCAATCTGTTTTCCCTCGGGCTGGCTGAGGACCAATTTCCAGATATCGGCCTTATCGGTGTCCCTTTCAAGCCTGCGATCGACTCGTTCAATGGAATGCCTGAAGTGCATGTCGGCAGCCTGCTTGAGTCTCGGTGGTGTGATCAACTTCACAATGTTGCCCAGCCATGACCACTCCCGACCAACTTGGGCGAAGGCGCCGTTCTTGAGATTGTCGAAAATGTTGGCGACCCATTCTGAGTATTCTGAGTCGGCGAGAAGGCCAAGCGATTCTCCAAACGCCAGCTCAGCCATGATGTCGAATGTCGTCAGGTTGTACAACTTCACCATGTCGAACTTGGCGTCTGGGTCTGTCTGGATGCCACGGCGAATGTTCCCCATGAGCTGATCTACGTACGACAAAATCAGTGGTGCCTGAGCTTTGAGGCTTCTTTCCGAAAACGCTGGCGAGAAGACTCTTCGGAGGCGGCTGTGGTCGGAGTCTGGCAATGTCGTGATCAGATTGCGGTGGCCGTTGGGGTCGGTTCCGTACACACGCGGATCTTTGGGGAAGTTTTTCTTGCCTCCCGTCTTGTGGGCGTAGATGTCCTTCCAAGCCTGGCCGTTGATGATGCTAAGTCTGGAGGCCCCAATTCGTACAACATCACCGTGCTTGGCGTGAAGAGAGCTGAGCCATGGAAGCATTTCCCCCTTTGTATGCACTGCCATGTATGGAATGTCCGAACAGCGGGCATAGAGCGGACCAGGGAATTTGGCTAGAGGATGAAAGTACGCATTGTACAAGAGCCCGACGACGAAGTAGACGGGAATCTATAACAGGAGAAGTGAATTGTCATGATTAGCTCATACAGCTCGTTGTATGACTTAGCAGCGTTCGACTTACGAGAACCAATGTTGCAATAAGCATTTGTGCTGGACTAATTTGAGCCAAACTCTCCAACACCGTGGCCGAGAAGGTCGACCAATTGGCCAGAATTTTGTTCGTATCAACTGTCATCTTTACTGACTATGATGAGCTGTGTTCAAATTTGGCTATAGTCTAGACGAAGTGCGAACCGCCCATTACTTATACCAACATTCTGTGTTTCCTGGAGTGGCCCTCCCATCAACAACCGAGTATCGGCCACTAGGAGTGTAGCAAAACTCCGTGACAAAGCTCTCCAAACAAGACAAAACTCCGCTGGGTACTAATTTCAGTCTTCCAACCCCGAATATCATCGCATTGTAAGGGCATTGGCAAAGGAATGCATGAGCCGGCCGTCGGATCGCCAATGTCCCACTACTTTCGGGGTGGAGTTCGGAGCGGACTGAAGGGGGCCCACTTTCGACCAAACTTCGGAACAACTTTCTCGGAGAACCGGGAAAATATTCACTTCCGGGTGTCCGCACAGGATCAGCATTTCCCCTTGCGCAACCGGTACGCTTTTGTGCCCAGGATTGGGCCCTAACTCACCGCGTTATTCTCAACTAGCCTCTCGGCGCATGATAGCTGTTGTATTCATTGACTTGCAGCTGGTGTGATGTTTTCTCGGAGTGGCGGCTGCCCCTAAGGGTCCAATGAGAAGGGGCTTGAGTATTTCAGGAAATAATGAGCTGTCAATGAACATTGGTTAAGTATCCTTCCATCCCATAATACCTAGGTCTATATATAAATGCTGCCGGTCGACTCAAAAGGCCGAAAATCAAATCATTCATCGCCCAGGCATAACTATCTACAAGATCCTCATAAAGCAACAGGGAATACCGAATCTTCCGGCTCATCTTCGTTCTCCCGCCCATTCATAGTCTCTAAGAAGGACCATGCGGAAGTTTCAGGATTCGGAAAATGACCCCGTCCGACACCAATGTACGAAAACGGCGGCACCCCTTCAGCCTCTAATGCGTGTGCCCACATCTGCGTGTTGACTGGCGTTGTTTCTTCAGGATTCAGTGAGCCCAGAGGATTGTTACCGTTATGAACAACGTTTTCGACACAAGCTCGTAGCTTAACGATGTATTCCGGTGACTCTCCGGGGAAACCAGATCTAGTGAGCAGGTCCAATCTCTTCGACCATGCCCGTAATACGAAATGCGCCAGAGTCGCGCAGGATTTGTCGGTAACGTTGAATAACCCGGGCCGGAACCGGTAGAGTATTTCAATCTTTTCCCAGGCACGTTGTGCAATGGGTCCTTCAAGTCTTTGTCCCAACAGCACCACGACGTAAAGTAGTACCTCGAATTGGAAGTTGAAATCAGCGAACCAGAGGAAACCCGTATCCTCTGAAGAAGAGTAAAGAAACGACGTATGCTCAAGCATGGAAACAGCCCACATGAAAGCATTGTCCTCTCCGCTCTGAACCACTGCGTCAGGTCTAGGTCCGTCACTAATGCTCTTGATCAAGTGCCGTTTCTGTACAAGAAGAGCCGATATGAGCCCTTGAGCCATGACGTGTACTTGTCCCGCGTGGGGGTTGCATCGATTGTCTAAGATGTGCTGGAGCCCCTGTTCGAACAACTCGAAATGGGTAAGGTAGTAGCTCATCTGCTGTTCTCTCGTCCCCCCTGCTACTGGGGGAGCACCGCCGGACTCATTCAGCTCGCCCATCATCTTCACCGGCTCAAGACCGGGTGTGTCGACTAGAAACTTGGTGATTTTGTGTCGGACCAAGCATAGAACCATCTCTGAGGGGCCGTCGCGGTCCGGTGTTGGCTGCGCAGCGGCCGGAAAGATGTCGGCGTCGTTCAAGTTGCTCGGCTCCCTAGCATCCCAGTCCCGAGGGAGCAGCGAGTGGCCAAAGCCGGAGAACAAAGCAAACTTTGCGTCGAGTGATACCAGCTGCCACCATACCCTGCGCCTCATCTCTGATTCAAAGGGCTTCAGGCCAAGCACATCGCCGTCGCGGTGGAGCCCCATCTTTTGAGCGATTCGGATGACGGTGCCGCTGAAGACCCACGAGCTGTGGCGGTCATATCTGTCTTGCAAGGAATACTGCCGATAAAGTCAGTATATCGCTTCGGCTTTCTTAGCTGTGGGGTCATAGTTACCAAACTTACCAAGTACAGGCAGAGTGACTGAAGAATGACTAGATCATTAGTACGCATGAAATTGAGCTGTCTCATTGTCTGGCGGATGCCAGCGGAAAACAAGGCCACGGCAGCTTCTTTAGTCTTTTTCAGCGCAGCCAAACATTCCTCCTCTGACATGGCAACAACTGCCATCAAAAAGATGGACAGCAGCAGTGCCATGATATTTTCTGGCAGACCTTGGGTGCCATTTGTAGCTTCCACAACATAGGGCTGAAAGGTATGAACATGAATCACTTTGGTGAAGGGATTCACTCGGTCAAGAAAGATTTGCCAAAGCTTGAAAACAAGTGCGGCATCCGGCCAAGCGTCGAGAACTGAAGATTTGGGGGCGTCATCTCCAAGGAGTAGATCTGTGTTTGGGTCGGAAGGCCTGCTATCAAGTGGACTGCTGCGTTCGTTCTCATCAAGGCTGATGAGCTCATCCATGGCTCGGAGCTACGGTAAGGTATGTCATGTGAGTGGTTTGATGTCCAACGATAAGTGCGGAGAATGACGTACCTCCTCATTAACCAGCCCCAGGAGGTAGTTATCCATGAAGGCGAGCTTGCCATTTGGATCTTCTACCAGCTTCCCTTCCGGTGTCCATCTAGAGACCGGAGAAGGGTCCGCCGGACTTTGAGACTGCGACGTCTTTGGCGTGGAGACAGCATTCGGGGAAGCACTTGACGCCACCGCTGGAGCTTGACCACTCAGGAGCTGCTCACAGCGGGCTAGACGTGCTTTGAGAGCTTGGTTGTAAGGCTTCCTCCCTCGCGGAGGAGCTGGCGTTCCAGGGATGCATTGGCTGGATGACTAGTAGCAACACATCAGCCTCAAGCCCTCTGAGGCGCAGAGCAACCCGACGGAACACAACATACCCTAATGCAATTTGCACAAGGAAACACCCGGCTGCACTTGACTTTCCGCTTTTGACATGCAACGCAGGCAATGAGGCGCCGACCGGTACCTGGCTGGTCACTATCGGGAGATATCGAGTCCGGCCCCGAGGCTCCGGGTGGGAAGGTGGCCATGTTTCCCTAGGCGAGACAAGGGCCAAGAATCTCAGCGGGCCCGAAAGAACAGCCGGCGCTGTGAGGGCAAGAAGGAGGACTTTAACACTGGCCGGAAAGGAGAGGTGACGTGGAGCTTTGTTGCTTCGTGATATGGGGAGGTCTGCATATGTCTCGTCGATACGGGCGCGCAAAAGATGGTGCCGCCTCCTTTTAACTCGCTCTGTACAGAGTTTCTGTCCTTCGGTATCGAAAGTTTGTCCGACGATCCGCAAACCCATGTTTCACTAGCTAGCGCTGTGCGTAATTGCTGAGTCGCCCCCGCTTACCTGGGTCTCTGTAGATAGTGCAATGGGAGTGTCGGATTAAAAGTCATAGCTCAAAGACCTAGCGGCAACAAGCTTGCTGCTAGCATAGCTGAACATACGTGCATCTCTTTATGATTAATTGTATGTTGTCAAAAGCAACATTGTCTCAAGGTGGCATTAGCCCAGTGGTTGTTGGTTCAGGTGCATAAGCTTGGTCTCAATAAGAATTTAGCATAAGCTCTGCATATCAGAAGCCATGAGTTAGCACAAGGCATTCAATCTTCATCACCTTACATGTACCTCCATGAACCTTCAATTGATCTCAACTTAGAGGTCACTCAACGGGATTCCACATATCATGCCGGAATCTTTACAGACTGCTTGATTGGCAATAAGTGCCCCTCCATATCGCCGCGAGCCGAGAAGGTCTCAGGAACTGAAATACCACACAAAATAAGACGCCAAACTATCAAACCTGGCGCAACATCGCGGAGAAGCGGGCGTCCCAACCGAATCACCCGCTGCTTTTATTTGGTAACTTTCAGCCTATAGGATGCAGGGCTATCGTGCTTCAATCTCTGTTATGATTCATGTACTGGCGATGCCAAAAGAACAAAGTAGCAAGCAGTTATGAGTGGCCCCATATGCTGCGCATCGCTTATCAGAGCCTACCGCGGCAGTTCAAGGTCAGTCTCGAAACGGACTAAAGCATAAGACTTGAATATTGCGGCTCTATGAGCCCTGGTGCCCATATTTCACTTCATTTCCAAGTAGAAACGGTATGGTTAGCTTGAAAATCGTAGTCCATATGGCATTGACGACTATTCTCGCTGAGCGATGGGTTAGAAAGATGTTGGATACACAACGCTCCACTTTTAGTTAGAAGAAGCATCCTGGGTATGCCACCATGAACCTCGTTGGTGTGGATCAGTGGGTGTGATGGGAACTCCACCTAGTGAAAGCATGATCTTCCATCAGTCCGGACTTATAGCGAAGTCCAAAAAACTGTAATTCACACACTTTACATCTGATCACGTACTAGTAGTTCAATGTGTTCCTTAACCGTCGGAAGCCAAGGTAATCACTGAATATACCATAGCAGATCACGACAGCACTTACAAGTCCAAATATTCAATCTCGTCCAATCACAAGTCAATTCATAACTTCAGTCTATCTGGGACTCGTCGCGGGTCAATCCGTGTGCTCAATTCAAAGGCGCCGCCAAATTGCGAGCTGAAACATCTCCACCAGTCGGGTTTAGACACCTACTTGGTTCGACCATCGGCGTCCAGCCGCATCTTCTTGACACAATGACACAAACGCTCAATCTCGTCACCAATTGTAGGTGCAGTATGAACGTGGTCATCCTGCAGCTTGTCGGCAGACGAAAAGTCCCAGTCGGAACCAAGAATCTTGTTCAGCGCATCATTTGAGAAGCAGCTGCATGATGGATGACAGTAAGAGCAGAGCTTCTTGAAGAATCGATAGTCCTCAATCTTTCCGTAACACTTCGGATCAGCCCGAGAGGCACTTTTGCAACTGACGTTCTCCTGCTCCAGACGGCTGATCTCCTTGTCGCACTTGGCACAAACACGGACGAAGAAGGTGGTGATACACATGGTGTATTCTTCAAGGTGACTAATCGCCAGGGTGAAAACAGGTGAGCGGAGGACTTACTCGTAAGTTTATTGTGTGTGGAAGATGATGTCGTGATGGGAGAGGCGTGAAAGATTTGCTGGCTTATTTACAAAAAAAGTCTCATTAGCATCATTCATATATCAATATTGAGATTATATACACACCAACCAACCTTGGAGACTATTCTGCTAGCTTTTGAGCTGAGATATTATCCCATTGTTTGTTCTTGCACTTTACGGTTTTGCGCTTTATCCATGTAAAAGAACAATGGGATTGAATTACTCATGTCCGACTTGCATGATCAAACACATGCCATGAATAATGGGGCTTTCGTTGAAAATTTCAAAGAACTTTTGATTGAGGGGTATCAATTCGCAGGTAAAAGCTATGTGCAGCTAGAAAAGAAAGAGTATGTACAGCACTCATGTGGTATCATTTACGTCATGCGAATCAAGCGAAGAGATCCCCTCTATATCCCGACTTCTCATCTAGTACTCAGCGAAACGCTCAAGAGTACCAGTTGTTGGGGGTCCACTTGACCTGTTGAGGTTGTTAGCGGGTGTTGTACATTGGAACATATAGGTTGTGTTCGACTTACGTAGCTGGCGTCAATCTTCTTCAGATCAGGGACACCGAGGTTACCGGCATCAATGGCAATCTCGTGCTTGAGAATTTGAATGGCCTTCTCAACACCCTCCTGACCGAAGATGTTGGAGAACATGATGGGGCGGCCGAGACCGACAGCCTTGACACCAAGGGAAAGAAGCTTGAGGACATCAGCGCCGTAGCGGACACCACCGTCGGCGTAGACCTCAATCTTCTGGAAGATCTCGGGATCCTTCTCGTAGATCTCAAGAGCGACCTCGAGGGAGGAGGGGGAGCCGTCAAGCTGGCGACCGCCATGGTTGGAAAGGATAATGGCGGGAACCTTGTTCTCGATGGCAGCCTCTGCGTCCTCAACGGTCATGATGCCCTTGATGATGATGGGGAGGTCGGTCATGTTGGACAGCTTGCGGTACTCATCCCATGTGATGAGGGAGTAGTCGGAGTCGGCGGAGCCGACGGCGAAGCGAGCAGCGCGGTGGCGGTTGCCATCGGCGGCGGAGTCGACGGTGTAGACAATGCCGTTGGCGCCGGAGGCCTTGATGCGGTCAAAGAGGACCTGGGTCGCGGTGTCGTTGGTGGTGAGGTACACCTGCTGGAAGGCGACCTGGCCCTCGGCCTTGACCTCGGCGATCTGCTCAATGGTCTTGGCGGCGTAGAGAGCGGGCATGTAGAGGATGTTCTCCGCAGCAGCGGCCCTCATCAGGTTGAGCTCAGCATCAGCGTGAGCGTAGTCAGCACGGGCAGCAGGGCTGATGAAGATCGGAGCAGAGAAGTTGTGTCCCAGGATGGTAGTGCTGCGCGAGTCAGCGATTTGCGGAAAATCCATGAACCCATCCAAGGGAGTTCATCAGAATAGGAAGCTTGGAAGCTTGGACTTACTTGAGGGTAGACTCAATGTTGGTAATGTCAACCATGGTGCGAGGGCGGAGGCGGTAACGGCCGAAGACCTCGAGGTTGTTGCGGTAAGACCATTCACCGGCGGCACCGTTGCGGTAGTAGGTGTAGTTCTTGATGGGGAGGTAGTTGCGAGCGGCGTACTCGAAGTCCGGAAGGCCAACCATCTGGGTGAGGTTGGGCAGAGCGCCGACAGCGAGGTCACCGAGGGCAAGCTCGATACCGGTATCCGGCTCGTTCAGGAACGGGCGGGTGGCGGCAGCGCCGGCCGCGAGGGCGGAGATGAGAGCAGCACGCATGTTGTCAGATAATGAGCGAATGTAAGTGAGTGATGACAGCGAGCACGTGTGTGATGAATCTCAGAGTCACCTCTTCAGCAAAGGGGAGGGTCCTAAGTGTCTTATTTATCATGGCCACGACAATACAGCCAGACGTCACTTTTTTCTCTCTAAGCTCCCCCCTCCCCTATACTGCAATGTTCTTGGCGTCGCTCCGAGCCTCCTTGCTCATATCCGGATTCGGTTCGACGAGCGGGCCAAGCGGTTGCTACCCAAAGTCTACATGTTTAGAGGTATTATCCCAACGGACTCCATGACGTGCGTCATGGGTGTCGTTGAGCACCAGGAGAAGTCCGCAGGAACGGGGACAGCGGCCCCGTTTTCCAATGTTGAGATGCCAGTGGGAGCTTCTCTCTGAGTCTCTGCGCATGATGCCCCCGACGCTGGGGAATGGGCTGCATCCAGGGAAGGTCGGTCTTGGCGAACGGGCTGTCTTGATTCTTTCGGACAAGTCGGGTGGCACTCTGTAGTCCCAGGAAACTTGAATAGGCGGGTCTACTACTACGTAGAGGAGAACCCAGGCCCCAAATCCGGAAGCTTGACTTGCACCTGTCATGAGAGAATGACTGTGGGATAGCAGCGATGGTTCAAACTCAGATAGACGATGTCGACCCGCTGCCAAGCTTAATGGTGCTGCAATGCCTCCCTGATCCGGGGAGAAGCCCGTTATCAGATCTTGTAGGGTGGACCAGCGAGTGCCGTTAACGACCCAAGAACTGACGTATCAAGTTGATGGAAGACTGATGGGATGGAGCTAGTTTCACGTTTTTTTCCTTCTCTTCTTCTGCCTTCCTGTCTGTGCTCCCCCTCGGTTACCCTCGACGACAGGGTCTAGAAAAAGGTCAGCCACTGACAGTTGGCCGGCAAGGATAGAGCGGGTAACTGACTCGCCCTGGGAGGATATTTGGTAGCTTAATAAGGCGCTACCATGGCTGAATAATAACGGAGCCAAGTTAATGAGCCAAGTCGTCGCACGGGGGGTGGGCAATGCTCCTAGCCAGCACATGACACCAGCCCAGCCAGCGGGATGGGGCTTGGACAAGCGCGCGGGTGGTGACAGCGTGAATGGGGACTACAACGCTCTCGGGAAGCGAAGGTCCCAGAGGTCTGGATTGCAATTGTTGGCCCGGTCCTGGGGGGATCCCACGTCACGGACAGACTCCTGTCCCCGATTGAGAGACATTTGGGGGCTTTCACGCTTACAGAATTTCGGTCGACTTCCGATCTTCAGGCATCGTGAGGATTAGGAAGTTGAAAAAACTTCTGAACATGATGATTCCTAGCTTACCTCATTTCCATCCGATGTCAAGCCGCCCACGTGTCTTTAGAGATTCCTGAAGGTTAGTCCTAGGTTCTTAGTGCACTGAGCTCTACAGAGGACGGGCATTACTTCTCCCTCTGATCTCCCTTAACTGTTTGTTTGTTGTTTGCGGTTGAGAGTGCATTATGCTTGAATCGTCCGGTGTCTGGAAAACATTTCCTCGCTTTCTTCTTCAGAAACAGGGGTAAGCCTCCCGCCAAAGAGAAAAAGGGAGGTCGCATCTCCCGTCACATTCCAATGCTACCTACCACATTTGCACATGACGTATCCTGGAAGCGAGATTTTATTCTATAGCCCCCTCCGGTTCATTCTCTTTTTCTTCTCTCTCTTTCTTGGACTGGGTCTCGCCCCAAGTTGAGAAAGAGTTGAAAAGAAATTTTGACCCTCAACTTGCTCAACTGGATTCCACTAGAAAACAGCCCTCGCAGTTTCCATCGCGAAAATTTCCGAATCCTCGACCAGGGTCCTGTTTAGGCGTTGACAATGCCGAGTAGCAACATCCGTCTATCGGACTTATGACCGGCCGCACTCACCAAATGTCGGATCCGTGTGGGAGCCCCTCGACCTTCCGGGAACAGTTTGCTGCCGGTGGTGGCAACCGAGCACGACGCAGGCCGTGGCGGAGCCGTAACTTGTAAGGCGTTGCAAAAAAAGTCAGTTTCCCATCACGACTGTATTCGTACGCCACGTAGAAAAGATCGCCGCGCTTCGCCAAGGACTCTTGGACTCCGCGAGAGCCGTCAATTGTAACGGTGAGGCAGCCGATGACAGTGCATTCTCGGTCTTGGTAACCGATAACGAGCACAGACAATGGCCTATAGCCCCATGCTGCTCCCCCGTCCGTCGATAACTGAGCTGTTGTCCGTGGGGGTAAATACTCAAGGAGACAGGTCCTGTGATGCTAACCCTCTCGATGGAAACCTGAAGATGATGGAGTCTGGCCCCGTTCTTGACTGACTTGTGGGTACCGGGCCGCTGGTTCGTCTGAAAAATTTTGCGGATACGCGCGGTAGGAACCCGGGTTTCGAGGATCACTTTGTCCTCTTCTGCTACCCCGAGCAGTCCACGGACCGACCTTCTCCATGTTATCTTATGACTTATTCTTCAATTTCCTTTTTTCAAACTCCAACGTGATTTCGGACAGCGTCTGGAACTGAGCTCTGCATACCGTTGTTGAACCATCACTTCTATCAGTTTGAGATGAATGACCAAGATTTCTCAAAAACTCAATTTGTGACGCAGATTTTTCGGAACATTCACGATATATTGCTCAAACCCATGTTGCATGCGTCATGCGCCGCAACCTCACTGGGCCATTCAAGCAGGTTTCTGGAAGGTGGGAGAGCGTCGGGACCAACAGATTCTCCTAATCAAGACGTTCGGAAGCCTCGCGAATGCAGGAACCATCACGGGAGCTTTACTTGATCATTCGGATTATGTCTCCCGCTCGGGAGCTTGTTAAGTGCCCGCATCAAATACCGGGACTGCATGGGGAGCCTAGACAGCGTCCAATGCTTTAAGCACCTGAAATGCTGGATTTCAAAGTCCGACTTCGGCGCACGACCTGAAATCATTCTCAAGTCCGAATCCAAAGGTGTTGATAACATCTTGCGAGCCGAAAGATCTCGGACAACAACCGATCGTCCGAAGAGCCCCGTCCCGCTCATCGTGGTGGTGGCCAAATTTGTGGATGAACACATTCTTGTCGGACATGAGCCGGGCCTGATAGTGGACCAAAGGCCTCTTTGGCTGCGATAGTAGGGTATGTCCGTCGCAAAAGACACAGATTCCCACCAACTCGCCGACTCCTCACCGACCGGAACGCACCCGCTCCCTCCGCTGAACGAATGCGGCAACCCGTTTGTTGATAACGACTTGCTCTTGCTGAAGAAGGTAGGTGAATCTCGCCAGCACTGGTTGTGCAATGGTCCAGATTTCAATGCCTGCTCTGCACCTTGCTTGTCTTTCGCGCCTTCATCAAATGGCCAAACCGCGCGTGTGGGCAAGGTGGGATTTTTGTGTCCACACCAATGAAACCTGCAAGGGATGCCAGACATTGATCTGCAATCTGGCCCAGGAACCCGACCACTCAAAAGTCTACATGACTCCAGTTTTTAACATGCTCGGTCAGGGCAGCTCCGGGGTAGGATTTCTTTTTAGAGGCTGCCCAGGAGCGCTGCACCAGCTTCTTCTAGAAGGTTAATTCCGCCCTGTGATTTAACTGTAACTAAATCCTTATTCTTGGTTGTAGCGATGGCACTCTGCAATCGTCCTTGCGCAGGTTTCATCCAGCCCCAGCGACTCTCACTGCTTGGCGAGATGAACAGCTGAGAATAGGGCGGGCAGCGTCGCAGATTAAATTGATTTTTGGGCAACTTTTGCCTATTCTTAGCTGATAACTTCGGTCGGAGACTGGGGCTAAGTAACCCGACGTCACTGATGTAAACAGGAGACAGTCTGCTTCGTAGTCAAGTTGTCTATTAAAGGAAATGACAAGAACTCATCATACAAATAGCTTCAATATTTCAAGGGCCTGTGGCGAAGTGAAATACTTTGTATGTTATCGAGTCAATCCTCATGATACTGTATTAGGGCCCGTCTCGTACCCATATCATGTAGAACCGTGTATTGTGCAATTATGCCACCTCTCAGTGAGTTATGTCTGAGGCCTAACGCTGAGAGCGCTATTACCTAGCCGCAAAGGCCGAGGCCCCTTGAGCGAAATACCTCAACGCGCCAATACTATTACATGTATAACAGTTCTCAGCTTGAGGTGCGGAAAGAGCTGTTTTGTGGTTTCGCCGTCGCCTGTGTCCTTGAACGCAGGCACTACTTGTAAAATTATCAAGCCTCCCAAGTCGCTATTAGAGGACTACAAAGCATGTTTCGTAAGTCTCGTTGATTTCAATCTGAGTGTCGGAGTACCTGACGCGTGACAGGAGTCTCGCTGTATGGTGCTGTTGCCTGGCATAATCATTGTTGCGATTATGCTCGTTCACATAGGTATGATGAGGATTTGTCATGTCCTCATGCCGTGAGCTCAAACAGAGCGAGTTTTCTCGCTTAGTGGGCTAGGATGATTTTTCACTGCGCTGCTTGTCAGTGAAAGAAGGCCTAGTTGACCTGCTCTCCTAATTAGACTTACAGGGCTTCATGATCTATATTAAGAAAATAATCATATCCATGGCTCGTCTCTTTGGCTTAGCTAGTCGACTGAATTGATCTTTGACGAACAGGATCAGCCCATACAATTGAACTAAGATACCCCTTCATGCACCGACTGAGTTTCGGCGAAGATGTAATGGTATCCAACAGCTTGCGTACGAACTTGAAGTTATCAGTCATGAACACAAGAGTTGGCTTGGTCCTTGTAGATTGAATGCGCTTCTAGATATTCTTGATTTGAACTTATGATTGAAGATCAAGATGGTTCTCAGAAAACCACTGAGGAATGTCTTGCATAGAAGGTATCAAAAATTCCGAAGTCCGCCATCGCCATTGAGACACCTGGAAAGATTCTGCCTGAAAAAGCGGGAAATATCTTCTCCTCAAAGCCGGAGAATGCTAGCGAGTCTGCCATCAATCAAACTTCAATACTTATAAAACGCTGATTTACCAGTCGTCAGTATGTGTGGTCTAACCGCAGCACTTCCCGTCTTATCAGTTATTATGATCGCTAAGTATTTCAAGGTCTTTGATCTTGCACGATGATCGAATTTGCCGATAAATCATAACCCTTGAGTTGGATATCGTCGCATTTTCTTTGAATTATTCAGCCTTCGATAAATCGTAGTCGATGCACCGCTGTAATTCAATTTGGGTAGTGTCCAAGACGCACATTCAGGAGGCTGAAAGTTGACTTGAGCTCTTGAGTTGAAGTCGATAACTGGGAAGATTCATGGAAGAGAAGCTCACGCAAGGTAAGGATGTCAAGGCAATTCTCAACTTTCTGCACGGGTCTTCTCATCTGAAGGGAAGGAGACTGGCGAGGACCCCGATTTCTGGGAGGATATGGTACGGAGTCAGGCTTTAGGACAAGCTCAAGTTGACTTGGGCTACGAGGAGATGATCCAAGCGGAACTGGAAGAGATTGATACGAGGACATCTTTCTCGCCACAGTACTCGGAATACAGCCGACGTCGAAGAAATCTGGAGTTAGTGGGCCGCAAAATGGGCTAGGGGAATTGCGTGCTTTGCTCTCCCGTATTCCCAACCTAATGTCTTCACGCTACGCACAAGAGAGGAAAAGAGACGGGTGTGGTGTGTATATCGAAACAGGACAGGCCCTTAGCCCCACCATGGAGTGTATCAGCGAGACGCTGAAAGAGCCTTCGATGCGTATCATGACGCAGATGGGAGCAGTAGAAATTACCCTCGCCGACATGAAGGGCTTCAGGCGCCTTAGATACCTCGGGATTGATGCCGCCATACTCATGGGGGCATAATTCCGCAGAGAAATCATTAAGGAGGAGTTTCCTTCCCAATGGTTCAGCATGGCGCTCGACGAATTAGCTTCACCACGGTTGGTGGACACGTTTCCTTCATCCATCAAATCGGCTCCGATATTGGCGCTGTCCTGGGACTGTGACAAACCAGATCCCGGGGCGACAAAATGCCTTATAGTTTTAGTTGTCGGTCTTCTTAGCAAAAGGCATCGTGAACAATGGCTACCGAGGTAAAAGTTCGGTTTCTCAGCCCCAGGAAACAATATGTCGAACACTTTATTGGACGAGTACGATGCTAAGTGGGCTACGATTTCCCTGCAAGATGAAAGGGAACTCCAGCCAGACTTCGTCCATCATTTCCAGAACGGTTTGAGTTTCCTATCTTACCGACGGCTTTATCAACTTTGATGACTACGATTCCGACGATGGAGATCATCAAGACGGCAAAGGCGGGCTCGAGGACAGTGAGTCGAGGAAGAAGAAGAAGAAAAAGAAGACAAAAAGACAATGAATTGAGGATAATTATTAGGTAGAAGTTGAAGAAAAGAGATAGTCGAAAAACACGACACATCAGTTTGCACCGGTAGGCTTCAGGCATAAAAACACCGCCTTGAAGCCTCATAGGAGCCAGCAATGTTGAGCGACAACTTGCCCACAACATAGCAGTGACGGCGGTAAGCCTCGATCACTCGAGTGCTCGCATATTTATCTTCGACCACTTCAGCTGATAGACAAGTGAAATACAAAGCTCTGATCGGGACAAAGTACACCGAGAAAGCGAGCTATGAACAATTGCTTCGTCGATCTTTTCCCCGCATTTCTAACGGCTATGGATGGAAGCGACCTGCACCCCAGCATAAGCCAAAGGTGCACTGCATTAGTCTCTTGATTATGTGAACGGGCATATTGGAATTGGGACGTCCGCAGATACGCGTATTCGTTCTAGGACAGGTTGCCCCCAGCAAACATGATTCAATGCAATACAGATGCTTGCTTTGTTCTCGTTCTTGGTACGAGGACTACCTACAAGTGCCGAGGTTCGTGCGATTGAGCGCAGAGGGGTGTACCCCACATCGTACCAACTTCATCATGTTAGTAGCTTCAAGTACCAGACGCAAGACTAGTCCATGAAGTTGGTTATGTGCTCTTTGGTCGTCAGTGGTGAGCTACCTTTAGATACTGCTTGTTGTTACCCAAGATCACACGAAGCGGCCCGATCTCGTTGTTATTTACCCCGAAGAAACTAACCAATATTCCTCTGTCCACCATTCTACGAACGCAACATTCGCAAACTTGGCGCCTAGCTGTGTCTCTGTCATGTTGATAGTTGAGTTTTAGCCCGCGCATTGTTCTATTTAAATCGCGATGACAAGTTCTTCCACAATCTGCTGGTCGAAAGGCTGTGCAAGACAACAAGACTTCGATATTTACTAGAACTATTCTCAGAATGACCACAATCCGCCATGCAGTTAGCCTTTTTGCCCTACTCCTCACTAATTGCGAACCCATCCGAGCTTCTGACTGCACCCAGTCCCCAGATAATTTCCTCCATCCACCATCCCAAGAGCGCCCAAAGTTCAGATACTGGCTTCCAGACGCTAGTGTAGACGCGGGGACTGTAGAAGCGGACATAAAGGCAGCGGGTGACATTGGGGCTGGGGGCGTAGAGTTCTTGCCGTTCTACAACTATGGAGGAGATCTTGGGCCACCTCCAACCGGGGTAAACTGGTCTACTTACGGCTTTGGTACTCCTGCTCATCTTAATCTCTTCACATCAGCTTTGAAGGCCCATGAACAGGCGGGATTGACCATGGACTTTTCACTTGGACCGAATCAGGGACAAGGCATTCCGGCTCACCCTGATGATGAGGGATTGCAGTGGGACTTGGTAAGTAGTTGCAAATCATCCACAGCTTTCGACGATGGAAACTGCTGAGTCCATTTTACTGAACTCCTTGCACACCTCAGGTTTCCTTCAGCCAAGCTGTCTCCAATCGCAGCTTTCTCAACGAAACAATTCCCGGCTGGGGGGATGGTGAGCTAGTTGCTGTCGTGTCCGCTGTCGTAGTGTCTCGAGCGAACATTTCTTACAACATCGTTGGGATTACCGGCTCGACGACTGTATCTTACCAGGATCTCGTTTTGGAAAATGGATCTCTCACAGACATTACCTCAAGTGTCTCAGGCGATGGCATACTGTCCTGGAAGCCCGCTAGATCCTTGCCCAGTGGATCTGACCACGAGCTGTTCTTTTTCTACGAAAAGCTGTCTCTCAACCAAAACGTTCACTTCCCATCAAATACGACGAAAACCATTTGGGACAATGGGTCGTATATCGTGGACCACTTCAGCGCCCAAGGAGCTCGGACAGTGCAGGCCTTCTGGGAGCAATATCTGCTTACTGACGAGCTGAGAGGACTTTTGAGAGACGTTGGAAATTATGGTATGATGTCTTCTAAACTTGGTGGCAGTCTTATCAGCTAACTTTGGCGTGATCCTAGGATGGGAGGATAGCATCGAAATTCCTTCGAATGTTTCATGGACCCGCTCGCTTCCAACACGGTTCCAAGGAATGTTCGCATACGACTTGAAACCATACCTGCCTCTCATCATGTTCAGCAACAACAATATCAATCTCCAAAGCACCTCCCCAGGAACTACGCGCTGCACTTTGGACCGACTGGATCAGGGGAAGGGTTATGTCAACGACTATCGTGAGACTTTGGCAGCAGGATACCAAGAGTACCTCGCCACACTTTCACAGTGGCTTCAGAGTCTGGAAGTCAAAGGACTATCATCCCAGCCATCTTACAACCTACCCATGGATATGGAGGCTTCGATCCCGTTTGTTGACGCTCCCGAGTGTGAAAGTCTTCAGGGGCACGACAACATCGATGGGTATCGGCAATTCTCTGGTCCAGCAAATCTCGCGCGGAAAAAGATCGTCTCCATCGAACTTGGCGCGGTTTTTGGGAAGGCATACAGCTACACCATTCCAGAGCTGCTCTTTTCCGCGAATCGCGCCGTTGCAGGTGGTGTGAACCAATTCGTTATTCACGGGCAGTCATACACCGGCAACTATCCCCAAACAACGTGGCCGGGGTACACGGCATTCATCTTCTACGTCTCAGACCTATATTCGCCCAAAAGACCAGACTGGAATCACGGCCTCCAGGCAGCCTTGAATTACATGTCGAGGTTGCAGCATATTCAGAAACAGGGTGTTCCACGTGCCGATATCGCATTCTATAACAAACAATCTGATACTGATCCAAACTTTGGAACATTATATGCGCCGACAGATTTGATTGATGAAGGTTCGTAACATTGCGGATCAAATTGGGCCATAGACCCGTCACTGACAATGCTTAGGTTGGTCTTACACTTACCTGTCACCGGACAATCTTGACATGCCCAATGCATATGTTGAACACGGTATGCTTGCGCCCCAAGATGCTGCATATCAAGCCATGGTTATCCTCGGATCCCAGAATTTGACGCAACTCTCAATTACGAAGCTGGAGAGCTTCGTGAAAGTTGGGTTGCCTATCATCGTGGCCGGCTCAGTGCCGGGGCTGTACCCTTCAGGGATGCAAATCAATACTGGCCATACTCCTGCAAACAATGAGTTGATCAAGTTTCTGAATAACACGAACGTACATCACGTTGCAGAGGGTGAGATATCCCAGAAGCTGAACGAACTGAGTCTCAAGCCACGAGTCGGGGTGAGAACCAACGGCACGTGGTATTCCACATGGAGGGAAGACAAAGAAAGTGGCATCGCCTACGCCTACATATTTGGTGACTTGGTTGCAGCAACCGGAGAAGTGGTGGCTCAATCAAAAGGTATTCCCTATTTCTTCGATCTCTGGACGGGGGCCCGCCAAGCGGTTCTCAGTTACCGGACCAACGGATCTTCGACAATCATCCCACTCGAACTCGCAGGAAATCAGACAATGGTGATTGCGTTCGCCGACAAAGCAATCCGTGGCACTATAACTCCAGCCATTCATGCTACTCAAGTTTCATCGAACATCGTTGGCTACGGCCCCGTTGGTGATGGCATTGGATTACACGTCGTTGCGTCTTCAGATCCAGCATTCGTCACATCGTCGACCGGCAACAAAATCACTCATTTCAGCCAAGCCCCTGACTCCTTCGAGTTAGGACCGTGGACTCTGGTTCTTGAGCATTGGGAAGCTCCAGAAAATTTCAGCGATGCAACCATCACAGCTGTCAAGAGAAACACGACTCACCAACTCAGCAAGCTTGTCTCATGGTCGGATCTTCCATATGCAACGAACACGTCTGGAGTTGGCTACTACTCTACAAACTTCACCTGGCCGCCGGAATCGACTACTAGCAGTGCTCACAACACGTCCCTTGGTGCCTACATGAAGTTCCCGCCTGTGTTGAACGCGATAACGGTCTATGTTAATGGCGCCAGACTGCCTCCGCTGGACTCAACCAATCCTACTGTTGACGCCACGTCGTACCTGGTGAAAGGAAACAACCACGTTGTCGCCGTTGTGCCGGGTACGATGTGGAACTACCTTCGCAGTATTTTGCCCGAGATCAGGAGCTCTGGGCGAGAGTTCTCATCAATGGTAACTCTCCCCAAGACCGACAATGGACTGATTGGTGTTGTAGCGGTCGTGCCTTTTGAGATCGTCCCTCTGAAAGCTTAGGACGTGGCCCTTGGACAAGGCAATGATCAACATGCAGGAGGAGCGCACGAAGACATCGCTCAGGTGACAGATAGCCCGAGAAGTCTCAGCCATTGAATAAATGCAGTGATATGAGGACTAAATCTGAGATTCTGATCGGAGTGAGGTGTGCAAAAGTACAAGAACAGTATTTCCCTGTCTTGTTAGTGTCAAGCCGATTATTCCATGTACCTAGTTGACTGAATCTGAAGGCAATTTTCGGGAGTATCCTTCTCTGCCGTTGCGCCTTCTGGGGCTCAGAACAAACCACAGTAGTCACTGCAGATTGCAAAC